TTTCTCTTTTCTTTCTTTTTTTTTATTTTTTGGGTTTTTTTTGGTTTTTTGAGACAGAGTCTAGCTAAGTAGTTCAGGCTGGTCTTGAACTTACTATGTAGCCAGGCTGACCTCGATCTTGTGGCAATCCTCAGCCTCCCAAGTGCTGGGATTACAGGTGTGTGTGTGTGTGTGTGTGTGTGTGTGTGTGTGTGTGTGTGTGTGTGTGTACCATCATGCCTGGCCTTCTTTCTCCTGTTTCCTCAACTAATGTGTCACTTTTTCAACCTACAGATGATGGGCAGGGATAATCATAAGAGCAAAATTCTCTGTTGTCAGTATGCCTTCTTTTTTGGGGGGGACAGGGTCTCGCCATGTACCCCATGCTAGCCTTGAACACACAGCAATCCTCCTGTCTTCCCCTCCCAAGTGCTGGGATTACAGGCATGTGCCACCACACCTGATTTGGTATGCCTATTTTCAATCCAGTTATCTCTTTACATTTTTGTTTCCAATCTGTTCATGCTTTGGAAACCAGATTGCCAAGCTCATCTCCTGACATTCTAATTACATTTTAATATTGGGTCTTTTTCTTCTTCCACACTTTCTTCTTACTAAAAGCACAATGTCAGCCACTCTTACTACTCAACCAACTCATTTATAAAGTCAATGACAGCAAGAAAAGCAAGTCATACTCCCTGTAAAAGCTGGTGTGGCATGTAAATGTGTATGTGTAAATCGAAGAGTAGTGTCTAACGAGCTAATCCACAGGTGCATAAAATCAAGTGTACCTATTTTGTGAGGTCTTTCTTTCATGGAATGTTTTTTGGTTTTTTTTGGTACCAGGGATCAAACTCGGGTCCTTGTGCTTGCTAGGCAGGCGATGGAACCACTGAGCTAAATCCCTGGCCTATGGAATGTTAAGAACTCAAATACCAGTTGTTCCATGATGTGATTAATGAGTGGCCACTTACATGTGTGAACATGAGGTTAAAGGGGACAAAGACAAAGACAATTCCAGTCCTAGATACGTACCCACAAGAATTGAAAACAGGGACTCAAACAGATGAAAAGAATGAAAAGTTATTGCTTGACATTTAGTTTCTGTTTGGGCTGATGAAAGTCTTGAAAATATACAGTGGTGATGGTTGTACACCACTGTGAATGTAATTAATACTGCTGAATTGTACACTTAAAATATTTAAAATGGCCACCCAGATTTCAAAGGAAGGCCTAGGAGGCCAATGTGTAACAGGGTTGGAATCCCTGCTGGGAGCCTATGAATCAGAGGGAAATTTGTGAAGTTGTGGAGGTAAGTCAGAGGCTGCAATGGAGACCCCACGAGGTTGGAGATGCCATGAATGTGAAACATCTGCCAAGGAAAGCTGCAGGTAGCAAAGTCAGCTATGTGGGCTACACCTGCAAGGTTATAGAGGCAGGGCTGGTCAAACCCTCTAGAGTTCATATCTCACAACCACATGTCCAGGATGCCAGACATAGAGCTATAAGACTTAATTTTGCCCTGCTGGATTTTGATCTTGCTTTGGTCCAGTTCCTCCGTATTCTCCTATTCCTCCCAGAATAGGAATGCTTACCTTACTATATCTTGGAAACATGTAACTTGCTTTTTGAATTTTACAAAGGCTCACAGGTAAGATTTTTGCCTTGAGTCTCACAGGAGACTCTGGATTTGAACTTGAGGAACACTGGAACTGTTGGGACTTTGGCAAAGGAATTGGCGTTTTTTGGGTTGTACACAGGATATCATACTGGGCAGAGTTACTGTTTTTATAACAATAATGTAAGTATAAGTATGGTTTAAGGAGATGTGTTTGTGCATCAAGTTGATAAGAAGTAGGTAGACTTGTGGTTATCTTGTCACCTTGATTTGCTTAAGAAATACCTAGGAGATTAATAAAACATACTTGGTGTGTTGGGTAGGTTGTGGATGCCCCTTTCCTCCTGGCTCTTTCCCCATCTCTCTCCTTTCTGGCCACCATGGGTTACTCAGCTTTCCTTTGCTATGCCCTTCTGCCATAATGTTTTTGCGTTGGAGTCCAGCTGATCATATGCTAAAATTTCTGAAACTGTGAGCTAAAATAAACCCTTCCTCCTTTAAATTGTACATGTCACATAATTTGTCCCAGCAATAGAAAGCTGACTAATATGCTCAGGATTCTGAAGGCTGTGTGAAAACAATATCAAAAACTGTTTACCTACTCTCTTCTACCTAGAGAGTATCATTAGTTATCAAGTGATTCCTAGGATGATTTATGAGGAAAAACTTGGTGTCTCTGATTTTTTTTTTTTGAGACAGGGTCTCAATATGTAGTTCAGGCCTCGAACTCACCATGATCCTCCTGCCTCAACCTCCTGAGTGCTGGGATTACATGTGTGTGCCACCACACCTGGCTTTGGTTTCTCCAAGTAAACCACAGTAAAGTCACAGATGACTTAACAGAATAAACCCAGTTCTGGAACTACCAGAAGAAAAAATTAGGAATACTAAACTCTAAATATAGCACTAAATTCTATGTGTATCTTGTTGAAAATCATCGAACTTGAAGGTAGAATAATTACTGGAAAAGAGAAAAATGACTATTACTTAGCACTAAGACAGAGAATTGATTTCATTTCTTTTTTATTTTTTTGGTACCAGAGATTGAACTTGCGAGGCAGGCACCAGAACCACTGAGCTAAATCCCTGGTCCTTTAAGAGAATCAATTTCAGAAATGAAACAAAACAAAAAATCACTACCTGCAGCATACAAAGTACATTTGCAGTGGTAAGCTAACAGAGATGTTAGCTATGTCTGAACATTTGCTGTACTCACCAGAACCATAATGATCCCATCTGCATGAGGATTCAGCTAAGATACTCAATATTTCTATGTTGACCAGGAACTAGAACTGGGCAGAAAAAGAATTACAAACCCAAGTTAGCAAAACACTAAGGAGTTTGTTTCGGGTTTTGAAAACATTAGCATTCTAAACAATGAAACAAAGCAAATTTATGTAGCAAAATAATCCCTGAAACATCACAGTAAAGCTACCTACCAGCAATTGTGGATTGAAATGCTATCAGATAAACTGCTAAAAAGCAACTTCCTGCTGTAGAATCTGTGCCATCAGGTGTTTCTCACCAGAGATGGCTGATTAATAACATTCAGTTCTTTGGTAGAGAATGTGGAGATTCAGAACACTGTAAATTCTAGAACCACCTCTACGAGAATAAAAACCTCAGCATTTCTCTTAGCTATATTCACATCACAACAGTTTTATGTACAAAATCAAACATAGACTATAAAAATATGCGTAATACGATAAACTATAAAATACTTTAGGTACTATGCATATATTAAGAAGTCCAATTTTATGTTTATAAATGAATCAGTATGTTGAAATAAATTCTGGACTGACTTTAATATTATAAAGTAACCAATTTTTGGCATGAAGTCTAATACATAGCCTGTGACAGAAAATGCCCTACTTTCTTTTCTGCAAGTTACCAATAGAGTGCTTTTGGAGAATTTGAGTCATACAACATTAATCCTAACTTGACGGATTCCTTATCAAAGGTAATCTCTTCAGTGTATGGTGATTCTACTCATGGACTCGGGAGAGTGACACATAATTAGAGGGGAAAATGAGCCAGAAGTACAGCCAGAATAAGTCACATCACACAGCAGGTGGTACCTCTAGCAAGGTTTTCAGAGTTCCTTACCAGATCAGCATGTTTCCTGCAATCACAGAATTTAGAAACAAACTAGGGCCGGGGGTTTAGCTCAGTGGTTCTGTTGCCTGCCTCGCAAGCGCAAGGTCCCGAGTTCTATCCCCAGTACAGAAAAAAAAAAAAAAAAAAGTAGAAACAGAAACGATAAAAGGTGGGAGAGGGCATAATTTAGAAGACGCTAAAGATCTCGAAAAGGGGTGTAGGGATTAAGTTCTCCTTAAAGAAATGAAAAGAGATCGCTGGGGATTTAGCTCGGGCATTTAGCTCAGTGATTCCGCCGCCTTCCTCACAAACAAAAGGAAAGGAAGTCGATCCCCAGTACCATAAAAAGAAGAAAAAAAGAAAAGGGATTTACAATGACCTTTTAAAGGAACTGTAAATGTAACATGAAATAATGGATAACACACAGCAGAGCTTTAACCACTCTCTTACGACTTGCAGTCAGAATACCTGTCTTCCTTAACGACTCACTGACTGACTGAATGAAAGTATAATCACAGAGCTTCTCCTCTAAACATAAGATATTTGAGAATACTCCTTTTCAGAGGTGTGATCAGGACTGGAGGGGGCAGCACTTTCAACTTTATACTTTATGCAACTTCCAGAAAAAGGGATTGCAGACGCGGGAGGTTTTATTAGCAAGTGGAACCCGGGACTGATCCTGGGTGGATAGGATCGGCCACTTAGGACCGAGGCTGCCAAGGACGCTCCTCCCGATCTCGCCTCAGGGCGGGGAGCCCAGCGAAGGTTGGCGGCCTCGACCCAGCCACCGCTCTTAGCCACCGCACTCCGGGACGCCCTCAACTGCCTCTCAGAAAATGTTTGGCCACGGACGTCCGCTGGTGCGCCATCCCTTTGGGAACCCGCAAGATTTAGAAGCCAGGAAAGGGAGAAAGAAAGTAGGAGTCAGGCAGCCCTGGAGCTGCAGAGGCGGAGCAGGGATGCGGAGAGGAAGGAAGGGAGGCCGCCACCTGTGGGTGAGACGCGAAAGTGCAGGACAAGGGAGCCCGGCTCAGATGTCCGCGGGAACCAATCCTCCTCAGGTGAGGGCGCCCTTACTCCCGTGTTGCCCGGCTCGAAGTCGCCGCGCCACCCCCCTGGGCTGCTCGGCTCCCACTCCCCGACACCTGCCTATCCCTGTCCCGGGACTGCACTGCAGCGGCTCTTACAACTCACCGCGCCCGCCGCCCTCAACGAGATCTCTGTCTCGCCTCCAGCGCCGCGATGGCACGGCCACGTCACGGCGCATGCGCTCTCCGCGCGCCGGCAACCCCCTAGGGGGCGCTCCTCACCAGGGTGCTCGTTACCTTAGAGACTGAACAGGCCCTGGCTGCCAAGGACGGGGAACTAAAACAGCCAAGATGCCGTGGAAGGGCAAGGACAAAAGGAAAGGCAAGGGCAAAGAAAAGAAGTAAGGAGCAGCCGCCCAGGTGTCCCCTCTCCCTCGGCTGGGCCGGAGGGGATTCCGAATCTGGGAAGCTGGCTGCCTCTAGCCGGCCTACCGCTCCCCTCCAGCTCTCCCGGTTTCTGAGGAGAGCTCCCAGTTCATTCTTTCATGCCCCTACCCTGAGAAGTCTTCTTTGTTGTGCATTTGAGATAATCTTGAACAACTAGAAAATGTGGTTGAATTAGTTCCTTGGGCCTTTTCAGGAATCCCTTTTGGCTCACAAGAGGGACCTACAGATTTGATCAGATTGGGTAATGAATGTTCAAGTTTCCGAAAAATGATCAGAGCTGCCGACAACGTGGTTAATATTCTAGTACTAACCTCCTAACTTGGAGTTGCTGTTGGATTGCCATTGGATCTATTTGTGACCTCTGGGTTTTCTAAACACATTGGAGTTATGCATGATGTCCACCCCCACCCCAATATGGGACCACAACAAACTTGTGATGCTTACAAAGTAACTTGCTTGGGTGTAGCTTGATAAAGAGCTTACCCTTCATGTGCTAGGCCTTGGATTTGATCTCAAGTACTGAAAAAAAAAATCACTCGTTTCATTCATACTTAGTACAGAAACTTTGGGAAACGTAAGTTACCAAAGGAGTAAATAAAATCACTTGTAACCCCATCATCCATAGATAACCAGTTCTATCTGTTATAAAGAATCCACTTGTCAACAAAAGACAGGCTCTCTGTTGTGAGAAAAAGAAAGTTTATTCCAGTGAACATGGACAGGGACTAAGGTCAGGGGATTTTAATGGCTGG